GGAAGGACGCGCGAGCAGTGCTCTATTCAAAACGAATACCCAACCAAGGAAGGTTGGGGAAAACAGCTCCGCCTTCTCCTCCGCCTGCTTCTCATCCTCCTCCTCCCCCCGCTCTCTCCCCCCCCCAAAAGGCAAACACACAACAAAACAATATAGCTGGGGAATCCCAGTTTTGTTTTCCCCCTGATATTGTTTCAGGGCGAAGAGACTAGAAATACATTATGATTATTCTCCTTGTGCTCCTCCTCCTCTTCCTCCTCCTCCTCGTACTCCTGTACTACAGGGGCCCTAACTGTGCAGGCATTTGACCCGTACCAAAGATTCACTCGTGCAACACAACCCTTACCAAAGGCATCCTTGATGAGAGTTCTGTTAGGCGTCGTTCCAACGGAGCCCTTACTGAACGGATTCGGAATAATAAAAACGTCCTACTCAAGGGGCCCTTACTAAGGATGCCTGCAACACGTGATGCTTACTGGGAGGCTTCGCCCGAGGGGTGCCGACTCGGAATGCCATACTAAAGATACCACTGTTCGAACATGCATCCTAAAGGAATCCGACATAAGGATATGACAGGGGCCAGCATACTAGAAGCACCCTTACTGAGGAGCCCCGACGAGAAGAGTATCAGTACTGCGGAATCCGGACTGCAAGGAACATCACTGAGGGAACCATTGGCACAGGCAACTAGATTGAGGATTCCTCAGCAAGGAGGCCTTACAAAAGGCTTCGCTCCTACAAAAACACATGCATCGACACTGCTGACCAGGTGTTGAACAAAGACTCCTTAGCCGACAGACCCTCACTCAAGACCCCTTTACTAAAAGCAGCATTACTGAGGATGTCTCGCACAGGTGGTTGTTACTCGGAATGCCTCATGGAAGGGACCCGTATTCAAGAATGCAAACTGGAGGGATCTGCTACCAGGAACCCGTATTCCAGGGCTCCTTACTCAGGATTCCTAACTAAGGCACCCTTACTGAGGAATACGCATTAAAGAAGAAAGTACTGCGGAGCCTTACTACAAGGGGCCTTACTGGGGGGGGAGTTCTTGGTAGAGGCACCTGTACAAACCATTCCCCAGAAAAGGGCCCGAGTAAGTATTATAATACACAACAGCCTGCCAACTTTCTCCTGCTCAAGAGCCCCTAGTCTGAAGGACTCCTTACTACGGATCCCATAGTGGAGGACCCTTTCGAAGGATCATCACGAAGAAACCTTACTAAGGATCCGCACTAAGGAGCCCCGACTAGAGGAACCATTATTACGGACTCCTGACCAAGGACGCCGTACTAAGCATTGCAAAGGAATCCCAGAATCCTCGTAAAGGACGACTTACAGAGGAGTCACTACCAGACGCAGACTCACGAGGGGAGGAAAATACACGGATGAAACGATGAGGTCACATGATGACCTCTGCAGAACAGGCAGGGGCGAGATGAGCGCGCGCCCAAATTAGTACATGTATATAAGTATACATGTAATTACACACGCATACATAGACACACACCAAAACCATATCCACCGCATGCCGAGGTCCCCGAAGATGGACCCCCAGACGGCGGATATAGCTAAATTCCCGCCTCGAACCAGGGTCCGCATCGGCGTGCCTCCTCTGGAGGAGGAAAGGCTTACATGAGCATGAGCGCTCGACGGCACGCGCGGATGGAGCAGATATGCGCTGCTCCCCCGCCCCTCTCCCAGGCGCGGGGAGCGCGCCACGGGCTCCAGCGCGGAGCCGAGAAGTCCGCACGGAGTTCCGAAGGATTAGGTGTATGAGCTTATGCGGTTTACTGCTCTTCAGCAACTGACATTTTTTCCAGCGTCCGACGTCGTCATCTGTTCACGACGTCGACCCCCAGAGATGTCGACCCCTTCCCCCAGACCAGCTTTTCATCCAGAGTCATTTCCCGACGTCCCCGGGGCCCGGCAAAGGCCCCCCAGAGGCCCAACATTGGCAAAAACCTCCCGTCGTGAATTTTTGCGCAGCGACAAGGTCAGGGTCTACATTGGCGTGATGCCCCTCCCCCGAGGCCTCGGACGCTTTGGCGCGAGTCGTGACGTGTGCAGCCCCCTCTCGCCCTCCCCTCCCTGGATCCACTTGCTCAAGACTGTCTCACCCCCCGGCCACGCGACGCCCCGACCCTTTTTCCCATTCGCAGTCCAGAAAGGCCCGACCCCTGTTTTTTCTCTCAGTCGCTTCTGGACGGCCCCCGGGCTCGGCGAGAGCCCCCAGAGGGGCCGACAGCAATGAAAACGTTCCAGGTCTTCTTCTTCTCTTTCTTCTTCTTGATGGGCTTGGTTTTCTTATCACCACTACCAGAGGTTGGAGGGGGGCAGGAGGTAGCGGAGGAGGAGAAGGAGGAGGAGGAGGAGGAGGAGGAGGACCCTCTCCCCCTCCAACTCATGGTGATGGTGGTGGTGGTGGAAAACAGGCCCATCACTTGCCACGACGCGAGCGCGTCCCTGGGGCCCTGCGCGCTCCCCCCTGCCCCGAAGCCTTGGACGCTATGGCGCGACGCGGCACGCCGCACTCCGCGGCCAGCGCGGCGTACCTGTCCGCGAGGGCCTCGTCGCCGCGGCGCGCCGCCGCGCCGACGAGGGCGGCGAACGTGGCCACCGTGGGCCGCAGGCCGGACTGCCGGGCCCTCGTCGGGGATGGACAGAACCCCCTGCGGCAAAACGTGGTTGAAGGGGGGCCCTGGGACACACAAATAAACACACGCCAATGGAACGAGTCCCCATATTTTCACACATGCTCTGGGTTTTTGTCGTCCCCCACACTTCCCATACTTTCCCATATTTTCTAAGGAATCGACGATGAATTGTGTCTGTGTGTTTTTTCCCCTCCTGAATGAATTCGTGAAAACGACCTCGGGCCCAAGCCTGGCGGGCGCAAGCCTGGAAAAGGACGGCCGCGGCGCCCTCTCGAGGACAGGAAGCGGACAATGCACGAATCGACGAGTCAGGGTGGGGTTTTTGTCCACCCCCGAACTCTCTCCGGTGGCAACTCACGGGAGCCTCCCCAGGAGACCCCCAAGAGGGCCCAGGAGGAACGCCAGGAGGCCAAAATCATACAGCTTCTCCTGAGATGTTGTCCCGTGAGTCTAGCGTTCTCGCATCTCCCGACGCCCCAAGGTGGCCCCATGGCCCCCAAGATCGCCCCAAGACGGCCCAAGGGAACCCCAAGACAACCCCTAGAGGCCCGCAAGACGGCCCAAGATCGCCGCACGCCATCTTGTTGATGCTTCGGACCGACGCCGAATCGACGCTAATCGAGGCTAAGTCAGCGCTAGATCCAACGCTAATCGATGCAAACCGACGCTAAGTCTGAGCTACCCCACCGACTACAATACGCTGATCGACGCTAGTGCACTCTCAAGACGGAGTCACGAGGGTATACAAGGCTCCCACGATTTGCTACCGCACCTCTCGAGCCAGCCCTCGGCGGCGGCCAGGTCTCCCGCCTGCACCTGCGCATGGTGTCTGATTGCTTTGGGGGGCGGGTACATAACTGTCCAGCGCTACACACAATCTACCCCACATGTCCCTCCCCGTCCTCCTCCTCCTCCCCCTCCTCCTTTTGCATGCGCTATGCTCGATGCGACGCAGAAGGATGATAAAACAATACTCGACCCCCGCTTTACAGGAACACTCGGCCGACAAGTCTTCCGTCAGCCTTTACAGCGGGCCCCCCGCTTTGGGGGTGGTTTAGCCCGGCTGTGTGCGCAGAGTGGCGCGCAAGCGCGTCGATTCCATCTAACGCAGCGACTTCCTCTGCATGCAAAGTCACACAATTGGTCAACACCCCTCCTCCTCCTCCTCCTCCTCCTCCTCCTCCTCCTCCTCCTCGTCCTCCTCCTCCTCCTCCTCCTCCTCCTCCTCCTCCTCCTCCTCCCTCCTCCTCCTCCTCCTCCTCCTCCCCCCCTCCCCCTCCCCCTCCCCCCCCCCCGTCCCCCCCCCCTTTCCCCCCCCCCTCCCCCACCCCTCCCACTCCCCTCCCCCCTCCTCCCCCCCCCCCTCCTCCTCCTCCTTATCCTCCTTATCCTCCTCCTCCTCCTCCTCCTCCTCCTCCTCCCTCCTCCTCCTCCTCCTCCTCCTCCTCCTCCTCCTCCTCCTCCCTCCTCCCCCCTCCTCCCTCCTCCTCCTCCTCCTCCTCCTCCTCCCCCTCCTCCTCCGCCGTCGCCTCTCTCTCCTCCTCCTCCTCCTCCTCCTCCTCCTCCTCCTCCTCCTCCTCCTCCTCCTCCTCCTCCTCCGCCTCCGCCTCCGCCTTCTCCTCCTCCGCCTCCTCCTCCTCCGCCTCCGCCTCCGATGTGGCTCTCGCCTTAGCGCCGCACACATTCGACCTAAACATTTGCATGAGCTTCACAGATTGAGGGCGAGTCGTTTTCAAAATGCGGCTGTCGCCTTCGCGCCGCACGCATTCGTTTTTAACAGTTGCAAGAGTTTCACTGGTTGAGGGCGGATCCTTTTCAAAATGTGGCTCTCGCCTTAGCGTCGCGCACATTGATTTTTTAAAAGCTGTGCAAGGGTTTCACGGGTTCCCATGATCAACGTACCAGAAATGACGTTTTGGAAAGATTCAGGATCATGCGGGTGCAATAGTTACGTTGGCTCGCGGTGTTGAAGTTCCAAGACCGGCGTTCTGGCACGATTTCGAATCGTCAAGACGCAACAGTCAGGTTGATCCGTGGTGTTAGAATCCCGAAAACAAGGTTTATGCTTTCTTCAGGGTCTTCAAAAAATTGTCTTCCAACGAGGCAGCTCCCTCAGTGGAAATGAACCGTTACAGGGGCCTCTGAAGAGGGAGCTTGGAGGGAGGGCTGATCCCAACATCGTTGACGACTCTTGGATCTAAACTAGTCCTCCTCCCCCTCCTCCTCCTCCTCCGCCTCCTCCTCCTCCTCCTCCTCCTCCTCCTCCTCCTCGTCCGGCTCCTCCTCCTCACTCCCCGGCCTCCAACTCCTCCCCGAGGTGAGAAAGCCTGCCGGTCCGCTGTCATTGTCGCTGTGGGGCGGCCCGGGGCCGATCGGCCGTGTCTGCCTCCTCCTCCTCCTCCTCCTCCTTCCTCCTCCTCCTCCTCCCTCCTCCTCCTCCTCCTCCCCCTCCTCCCCTCCTCCTCCTCCTCCTCCCCCTCCTCCTCCTCCTCCTCCCCCTCCTCCTGCTCCTCCTCCTCCTCCTCCTCCTCCTCCTCCTCCTCCTCCTCCTCCTCCCCCTTTTTTCTTTGATTCCCTTTGTGGTATCGGGGTCGATCCATGGGAGCCCACGTGGCCACCGGCGCTGCCCGATTTTGGGCACTGGCAGGGCTGGACCGCAACGCCGTTCTGCATGTTGCTCTTCGCACGTGTGTCCGTCGACGCGCGAACGACGAACGAAACTGCTGCTTCGCCTCGTCGGCGCGCAGCTCCCGCACGAGAGCGGCGTTGCAGCCTCGTCGTTGCGCAGTCACGCCGCTCGCGACATTTGGAACGCCCTCGCGAAGTGGGCGACATGTCGCCCTCGCCCGACACCGGCGCACACCTTCGGGCGGCAGTGTCGTTTGGTTCTTCGTGTGGCTCGACCCGTGCTCGGGTGCCCGCCTGCCAGAAGGAAGAGCAGGAAAACACAGCCGAAGTCCAGCACAGCAGCGCTGAGGTCCCAGCCCTGGGGCATGGCTTGAACCGAATCTGGAACACATTTGGGGCGGGAGTTGGACCAGATTTGGACCAGAGTCGCCCCTTTACAAAGGAGGCGAGAGGAACGGGGAGGGGGAGGAGGAACAGTAAGGGCGAGGAGGGGAAGGAGGAAGCGCCACATGCGGTCCAAATGCAGTCCAACTGCACGAACATCCGATGCCAATATCCCCGCCCCAGGCCCCAGGCTCCCATGGACACGCACCGAACCTGCGCGCCCGCCAGGAGCATTCAAGCCTAGATCTCCGACGACGTGACTTTTTCCATCGCGGAGTGGGGCCGCGGAGTGAACAGAAACATATCTGAGCTTTGTTTAACCGATCCCCATCCCCACGGACGTGGCCTGGACCCCGCTAGCCGATTTACCCCCCTAGATGGGGATATAAGCTGTTCCATTCGAGTGTCGAAGGGCACATACCCAACCGGGGTGGTGGGATGGTGTGGATCGAAATGGGGAGTCCGATGGGGATAGGGATCGGTCAAACGATACGGAACGTCGGTGGATGCCAGGGAGCGGTGCGGTAACAGACCGTGCGCTGACCTCGAAATTCCCCACAGGGACCTCACCCACCGCACGGTCCGCCACCACCGCGCGGCCACCCCTTAGGTACAGGCGGGAAAAGTAAAACATGTGCAACAAATACACCCACATTCATCAAACATGTTCGAAAAGTCGTCCCAGACCATGTTTGGACTGTTTTTGAGCATTCCTCCCGTAGAGGGACGTGCCCGACGGAAGGCCACCCCGAGCCCCCACCAGCGCACTGCCGAGGGAGGCTTCTCCCAGGCAGGCGCTCAGGCCAGGGCTGGACCGCAACGCTGCCTTTCGTTATGTGGTTTTTGTTGTGTTTTGTTTTTTGTTTTCCTATTTATATATGTACATATACTAATAATATATGTATATATAATAATAATAATAATAATAATACTAGTAGTAATAATACTAATAATAATAATAATAAGAATAATAATAATAATAGTAATAATAATACAAAAAAACTTCTCGAGTTGTACGTGTCGCTAATCTGCCCTGTGTCGTTCCAATCTTCACGGATGCTCCCCGAAGGGGGTCCATTGCTTTTGTCGTTATGGCTTATGGCTTCGTGCCGTCGTGCGCTGTCATGTGCCTCCCTGCCAAAACCAAACACAAAACCCGGCCGAAGTCCAGCAAAGCAGAGTTTATAGAAGAGCGCGTTCCACTACTCGCAGAGTAGCTGCTCGCAAATGGCCTGAATCCGCCGCGGGGGATCTACGATACTTTTCATCTCGAAGCAGACATGTGTTGTTCGGGCGTTTGCAAGTAGGCACTTTGCGAGTAAGGGAACGCGCTCGGTGAGTCAGCCCTGACTCAGACCCACGGCTGCCGGGGTCCAGGTCTGGAGCCCCAGGGGGCGGGTGGCTATGGATGGAGGGGAGGGAAGCGGGAACCACGACACACACACACACACACACACACACACACACTGCACGCGGAGATGTCGTGCCGGTGTTGGTCACCGCCGATCCCGATCAGCGCCGAGTCGTGGACCATCCACGCGCATCGGCGACGGCCGAGATGACCCAGGACCAAGATCGGCAACGACAAGATCCCGCGACATCTTGGTCATGGTCCCCGTGCTTCTTTCGGCGGCCCGCCCGCGGGAAGTTAGAAGGGGCGGGCCTTCTCCGAAGGCTCGGAAGTCCCCAGGCCCTCTGAGAAGCTCTCGCCTCTCAAAGGCCCGAGGGCTGCTGAGAAGCCCTGCCGCCTTCTGACAAGGCCTCCTCTTTCTCACTCTCCCCCCCCTCGCTCGCCGCCGTGCTTCTGGGGAAGCCGAAAAAAGGCAACACCTCTCCTGGGGCACGTTCTGACCAGGATTCCGAAGCGAATCCGGCGGTGGCGACGAGGGCCTCCGAGGAGGCCCAGACAGCGAAAAAACGAGGAAAGGGTAGAGGTGTGGGGACCGTTTAACCGATCCCGATCTGGGCCCCGCTGGCCGATTCACCCACTCCAGAAATAATCAAAAATACTAAAAACAGTCGTCCCCAGACGATGTTTGGACTACTTCTGCATATTCCTCCTGTAGAGGGACCGGCCCGACGTAAGCCTCCTCCGATAGAAAAAAACGCGAGGGCCGCTCGGCGGCGGCGGCGGACGCCCTGCACCACCGGCGGCGCTCAGCTCAGAACGCCCGCGCTGGAACTGCCACCGCGCCGACACGGAGGGGGCGCTTCTCCGGAGGCCTCCTAATTACTCCAGATTTCGTAATAAAAGGGAGGGGGTCTCATTTCGGGGAGGGTCTCTTCCAGGCTATCTTGGAGGGCCTGGGGGGGTCTGGGGACAATGTTTTGGAGGGTTCTCCCACGGGGGGGGGTCTGAAATGGCTTGTCTTGGAGGGTCCAGACCCCCTCCCTTTTATTACGAAATCTGGAGTAGATGGGGTCCGAGTAAAAGGGATCGAAGGATCGCGCCGCATCGCCAATGCATCGGCGATGTATCGGCGGTGTATCGGCGATGCATCGGGGGCGTCGGCGATGCATCGCCGACGTCGGCGTGGGGAATCAGGGGCTCCACATCGAGCCGCATCGCCGATGCATCAGCGAAGCAGCGCGATCCTCCGACCCCATATACTCCCACCCCATCTAGGAGGCCTAGATTCTCGGCGGTGGGCGAGGGGGGAAGTGAGAAGGAGAAGGCCTTCTCGGAAGGCGGCGGGACTTCTCAGAAGCCCCCTCGCGCCTTCTGAGAAGCCTTCTGTGCTTTCGGGGAAGGCTCAGGAAACATCTCAGAAGGCCGGGGGACTTCCGAGCCTGAGAAGGCCCACCCCTTCTCACTTCCCCCCCCGGGCGTTCTCTGAGTTGTTCGTTAGACTCTGGCAAATTCACTTTAATGGCATGTCCGCGCCCCTCCCCCCTGTCCGCCACCTTTTCCAGCCATGCTGGGCCGAAGAGGCGTGCAAGTAATTCCTGGCTTGCGTGAAGTCCAGACTTCCTTTCGGCCCTCGCCACGCCCCCCCTCCCCTCTCCATGCAAGTAAATTTGCCAGAATCTACAAAACGAATGCCTCATATCCACGTCCACGTTCCCGCGGGAGGCCATCACCGAGTCGACTCCCCGGACTCCCCGGGGCACGGCTCCTAAGGCAGTGGGCGTGGGTGCAACTCTAGGGGTGGAGCCTGGGCGGCCACGAGCTTGTCGAAGACCACCATGTCGGGTTCGACGCGTGCGGCGACCATCTTGTCGAACCATTGTTCGCCAGCCTTGACGTCCCCCGCGGCCACCGCGGCATCGATGAGCTGCGCGAAGACGAACTCGTCGCAGGCGACGCCAGCCTCCCGCGCCTCCAGGTACAGGTCCTCCACCGAGGAGTGGTCGCCCTGCTTGGAGGCCGCGTGCATCAGCGAGGTGTAGGTGACGGCGTTGGGCATGAAACCCGCGGCCCTCATCCTCTCCACCCACGACACCGCCGACTTGATGTCTCCGTTCCTCGTCTTGGAGGCAGCCGGGGGCTCTGGACTGGTTGAACCCCGGGAAATCGGCCAGGAGCGGGGATGAATCCAAACCCGCTCAAAATCGGTTCCCAGACCCCTCCCAGGGTGCCATCTGATGCAGTTTTTCAGGCCAGATCCTTTTCTGACGGTGCCAGGGCCCGAAAACGACCCCCAGAGGCTGCAAAGGGCAGAAAACCTTCCCGAACCCAGAATCTCGAGCCTCTTCACCCCCTGTCTTGCTGGAGCCAACGTTTGGGCCAGCTCAGGCCCCCAGCCAATTCCAGTCCTTGCCTTCTGTTGCTCCCATCATACTTAAGGACCACATCCCCGAAATAATTTCGAGCACCCGGAAAAGTGTCGAAACAGTGTCGAAACGAGACTCCCAGGGCCCGACACGTGGAAACCTTCGAGTTTCGGTACTTTTTCATTGTGCCCGAAATTCTTCCTGGTGGTCAAGGCTAAAGTACGTTGGAACATCATATCCTCGCCGCCGAATCGATCAAGATGTTGAAGGTGTAGGCGGTAGGCTTCACTCCAGCCTCCAAGGCCGTGCCGTACCACCGCTCGGCCTCCTTCGGTAGCCCCTCTTTGGCCGCCGCGTGCATGAGCGTCGTGAAGGTCACCACCGTGGGCCGGATGCTATCGGCGATGGCGCGGTCGTACCTGGAGGAAGAAACAACTGCACAGGCACATAAACTGTTGACGTTCCGCGCGGAGTGCTTGGATCTGCGCCAGGCCGGGCCGCCCTGGCCGCGCCTTCGGCGCCGCCCCTGGCGCGCTCCGCGCACTGTGGAGATGGGCCCAGCGCAGCTCCAAGGAACCGGCGGAGACCGTGAGCAGAATATGTTCACTCTTCGTCCTCCAGTGCTCCTCCCCGGGGTGGGGGTCCCAGTGGGGTTCCTTTTCCTCCTCCTCCTCCTTCTCCTCCTCCTCCTCCTTATCTCCGCATCCTCCTCCTCCTCCTTATCTCCGCATCCTCCTCCTCCTCCTCCTCCTCCTTGTCTCCGCCTCCTCCTCCTCCTCCTCCTTCTTCTCCTCCTCCCCCTCCTGGTCGTCGTCGATGTCTTCCAGGGTCGGCGGCACCGGCCGCCAGGCCTTCACGATATGTTTGCTCTTCGTCGAGTACCAGAGCTCGCAACGCTTCAGGTTCCCCTGCCTCGACGCGGCGTGTATCAGCGCGTTGTAGGTAATGACGTTGGGCGACCTGCCGGCGTCCAGTGCCTGCGGCATCTATTTCGGGAGCTCGGACGGCATCGGATCGAAAAAGAGCTCCGAGTCGTGCTGCGTCGGCACGGCATCGAACCAGAACCGAATCGGCCGCGCCGGGAAGCAAAACAATACTCAAAATCCTTTATTAATCGATCCCCCCCATAAAAAACCGGACCCCCCTCCAAATGCGACCAAATATTCTGGACCCCACGACGGGGCGCCTTCACAAACCGGACCCCATAAGCTCCAATCCAAAGAAAGCACCCTCCCAAACCGGACCCCCCCAGTTACAAAAAAGGCGCCCTGACAAACTGGACCTGGGGGACGATGAATAAGGGATTTGGAGCACCGTGCCACTGCCGAGACGCACAGGACGCCTAGAAGAGATCGAACGATCGCATCGGGCTGGCAGGGACCCTGCCTGCTGGTAGAACTTCTCCGCCCTTGAGAGGCCTGGTGAGCCAAAAGGTACCGAAACTGACTACCTACCAAACCACCCCAACCCAACCCGAAGACCCGAATTTGACCCGAATTTCGGGTTGGGGGGGGGTACGGGTTCCATGTGTTTTTTCGACGTTCCCCGACCCCCCCCCACTGGAAATGAAGGGCAAATTGAGGCCTTCGGGTTGGGTTGGGGTGGTCTGGTAGGTGATGAGAAACCGCTGCTCCCCGGACCTCTCCCAGAGAGCGCTTTGGCGCAATTTCGTGGCGAATCCAGGCGCGACAACGAAGGACTCCCAGGAGGCCAGGGTACCCTGATGATTGTTACACAGCGTCGACCCCCAAAGGTCCCAACCCACTCCCCAGGACCAGCTTTCCATCCTGAATCGTTGCTTGACGGTCCTGGGGCCCGGCGAGGGCACCCAGAGGCCGAAAGTAGCGAAAAACCTTCCGTCGCAGGTTTTGCCGCACCGCGAGGGGCTCTGGGCAGCGGTATCGGTGTCCTTTCCCCCTCGGAAGGCCGGTGCGCGCCCTTGCGGCGCAGCTGATCAGCGCGTTGAAGGTGTGCATGTTCGGGGAGACCCCCGCCTTCAGCGCCTCCCCGAACCAGCGCTCGGCGGCGGGCAGGTCGCGCCCCTTGGCAATCCAGAGGAGGGGGGAGGGCCTCAGCCCATGAGGCAGAGGGTCGAATCCAGAGGAGGGGGAGGGCCTTAACCCTCTGAGGCAGAGGGTCGAGGGGAGGACGAGGAGGGTCGAGGGTCGAGGAGGGCCGAGGGTCGAGGAGGACGCGGAGGGTCGAGGAGGACGAGGACTACGAGGAGGGCCGAGGGCCGAGGAGGACGAGGAGGGTCGAAGGTAGAGGGTTGAGGAGGACGGGAAAGGTCGAGGGTTGGAGGGGGGAACGAGGGGGACGAGGAGTGTCGAGGGTCGAGAAAATCACGTGGGAGGGCAAGAGAAGCGGGAGGAGGGTCGACGCAACGAGAACCCAGGCTTTGAAAATGTCTAACCCATTTCTGGAGCCTCTGGGGGCCTCTGGATGCCCAGGGAAGCCTCTGAGGGGGAGGGAAGCCGCACCCATCTTGACCAGGATCTTTTCGGGAGCAAATCTGGGCCACCTTGTCGGTTTGTGCCCTGTTGTGGCGACGAAAAATTCAAAACATGCAAGAAAACTAAAGACGCGTCCGTCGCCGTTGTCGTCGTGGACGACTCGTCGCCTTCGACGGAGACGTCGCGGGGGACCTTGGCCGCAGCGTCGATCAGAGAGGTGAACGTGACGACGTTGGGCGACATGCCCGCCGCCACCGACTCGGCGTACCACTGCTCCGCTTTCCTAGGGGATGCTGCGGGTGCGTCGGTTCCTCCTCAGCTTCTCTACTGTTACGACGCCTACTACCCACACGAACAGAGAAACTACTACGATCACGACTACGACCACGAATACGACTACGTTTAAGACTACTACTACTCTTACTACTACTACTACTACTACTACTACTACTACGACGACGACGACGACGACGACGACGACGACGACGACGACGACGACGACGACGACGACGACGACTACTACTACTACTACTACTACTACTACGAACACGACTACTGCTACGACGACTACTACTACTTCTACTACTACGACTACTACTACGATTACTCCTACGACTACTACTACTACTACTACTACTACTACTACTTCTACTACTACTACTAC